CATCTTTATATATATAAAGTCTAAAACTGAATCTGTTATCTTTTCCTTCAAATTATTTCCTCCTTTGTCTTAGTGAATGATACCTATTCTACCTAGCTTCTTAAGCAGAAGCTTTGAAGTCATTCTTGACTTCTCCTTTTCCCTCATTCTCCACATTTAGTCTGGTTGCTCCTGCCTTCTTAATATTTCCCAGTTTTGTTCACTTCTTTCTCTCACTGCTACTGCCCATTAGATTACAGCCTGAATTTACATAGCCTCCTAATTTATTTAATTACATAGCCTCCTAATTTATTTCTCTAGTCTAATGCCCCATTCCAATGTAGATGGGGCATGACTGCTCTGAGCATGAAGTTAGAGCATCCTTTATAATGTTAGACACATAAAGAAGATTTCTGGGCACTAAGCACCTCTCACAACTCCCCACAAATGCCCTATTTTTTGTGTAAAAAACAGTGCACTAAACTGTACATAGCAAAAAACATAGGATTCTAAGCGGGGGTCTTACATGATGAGATTTAACTTTAAAATGATATCTCTAGCTACCCCTCTATTTCTCTACTCCCCTTTGCAGCAACACTCCTTGACAGAATTGTCTTATACTTCTTTTCTTCAATTATTTTTCCTCTCCTTCCTTTCCTTTCCTTTCCTTTCCTTTCCTTTCCTTTCATTTTCGTTTCATTTCATTTCGTTTCTTTTTTTTCCTTTCATGAGATCTGTGTTGCTCAGGCTAGAATGCAGTAGCTATTCATGGGCACAATAGTAGCACACTGTAGCCTTGAACTCCTGGCCTCAAGTGCTTAAAGTGATCCTCCTGCCTCAGCCTCCCAAGTAGGTGGGACTACAGGAACATGTCACTGTGCTCAGCTTGCTTGCTTTTTTTTTTTTTTTTTTTTTGAGACAGAGTCTTGGCTCTGTTACCTGCTACAGTGCAGTGGCATCATAGCTCACTGCAACCTCAAACTCCTGGTTTCAAGTGATCCTCCTGCCTCAGCCTCCCAAGTAGCTGGGACTACAGGCATGCACCACCAC